TATTGCACGTAAACGTGGCACCATGCACATAGGCAGTGCAAATGAATGGACAAAAAAAACCAGAGTGAAAAGCAGGGAATTGAGACCGCAAACAAAAACAGGCATGAACACAAGACAGGACAGAGAAAACCTTTGCTCGTCCACACAAGCAAACATTTTCAGCAAATGTGTCCGTTTTCGTAGAAATATTTGGCATCGTGTGCATTTCTGGTGGTCGTTTGTGTCTAGCGAAAGATCAGAATCGATACACATAAAATTGCAACAACCCCTCCGCCATGGATGTGTGGGGTATTGAATTAAGGCGTGCTAGATCCATAAATGCTAGCAACAGGCACAGCTTTGTAGCTCAGCAATGCTAACCAGGAGCCTTATAATGTATTCCTAAACCAGGGCTCCTATTTTAGGCGCTCAAGAAAGGGGTGCTGAACAGGTCTGGCAGGGTGTGGAAATCCCATGTGTAACCCCAAATCCCATTTTTAAATGTATGCCACAATCCAGTCTCATTGGGGACTCATGATAGTTGGATGGATACCTTTAGGGGAGAGAAGGGTCTAACGTTTTCCTCCTTTTAATTTCTCTCTGGATTTGGAGTTTTGAAATAACTCTCCCTTTTACCCCGCATGGAAAGTTGATCCATTAGGAGTCTTTTATTATTTCTATGGTGATGCGACGATCCCCCTTATTTTAGGGTATGAGGGGTTTGGTTCCTTTAACCTTTCTCAGGCTGGAGCAGGCTCATTTCCCACTGACACTGTCTGTCAGCCTCTGTCAACCCAGGAACCCACACGGTTCGTCCTTTTGTCAAAAATCAAGCCACTTATTGGCTGATTTCGCACGAGAGCTGCCTCGATGTTGCACCACCATTTGCCCCGATACTATTGGTCAATTTCACACTTGAAGCCGCGGGGCTGCATTTGACCCGCGGCTTCGCCCGATTTCCTCTGCAGTTTCGTGCGGGGGAAATCGGGCGAAGCCGCGAGTCAAAATGCAGCCTCACAGCTTCGAGTGTGAAATTGACCAATAGTATTGGGGCAAACGGCGGTGCAACATCGAGGCAGCTCTAGTGCGAAATCAGCCATTGTCTCTGGGGCTTTTCATGAACCCTGCCTTTTTACAGGATGAAGTTTACTGTTTAGCTTTGTCAGATACTGTCAGACACTGAGGCACGTGCAACCTGGAACAGTAAAACCAACTAAAGAATTTATTTACAAAGACAGGCAGGAAATATATATATGTACAAGGGAAAGCTCTGATGCTTGTGGATACCTAGGGTGATTTCTCACGAGAGCTGCCTCGCAGCACAGCGCCGTTTGCCTCGACACAAACGTGTCAATTTCACACCCGAAGCTCCGGGGCGGCTTCACCTGATTTCCTCCGCAGTTTCGTGATCCTGGTTTTTGAGGATCATGAAACTGCGGAGGAAATCGGGCAAAGCCCCGAGTCAAATGCAGCCCTGGAGCTTCCGGTGTGAAATTGACACATTTGTGTCGAGGCAAACGGCGCTGTGCTGCGAGGCAGCTCTCGTGAGAAATCACCCTGGGTTTTTTTCCACTGCTCAGAAGTAG